CCCCAAAACCCCAAAACCCCAAAACCCCATATGTTTAAACTTACAAAAATTGATATTAATGATATTATTTCACTAAATATAAAATTAAATAAAGTGTTTATTTTGATGTATTTTTTATCAGCTGAAATTGCTCTTACCTTTGATTCCAAATACTTATTTACCTTGATCAAAATATGCTAAAGATCCATCGTTGAACTGGCCACTTTTTCTAACCTGATTTTGACCCAGCAAACTTCCTGCATTTCCGAATATTATTCTCCCCTGAGTACTTGGTCTCTGCTTGTAAGTGGAATCTTTCTTTTAATAAAAAATATCTCTGTTAGCCTTTCTAGTCATTAGTCCTCCACTCATAATTGCTCCGGTCCCTGATAAAGTGTTTCCTTTGAAGAATTAAGGTGGAGTAGCTAGACTAGCTCCAAGCACATCTTAAGCTCTAGAGTAAGGAAAATTCATATATTCTTTTGGTTCATCAAACAATCCTTGAACATTGCCAAATCCACCCATTGAACTACTCTTAACTGATTGGAAGAAATCAGGGATATCACCTTAATTATTTTGCCCATGAGTAACTACCTAATCATCAATATCTCTAGTAAATCTTTCTAATTCAATCTCTCCTTTTTGCATTTCATTTATTAGTTATCTATGTTTCTTTTGTGCTAATGAAGCATTTACCTCAAACTAAAACTTGGACATGCCTGATGCAGTTGTTTAGTTGTAGTTAGTCAAACTTGAATTTAGTTAGATAGGCTTGGTATACAGGACATTTTAGTTCATATGATGATATATTTTGCGATTATCTCTCATATTAATAGCAGCTGATCGAGGCTTGTCGTGATAGTTTTTTCTGTTTTCAGCTAATTAGGCATCAAGCTCTTTCCGAACGTAAAATTAAACACTTCTGTTCTGTCCATATTTAGCCATCAAATTTTTTATTGTATCTTCTGGATCTTAACGGCCTTAGAGATTAGGATTTAAAGTTGCATGCCTTGTATATTATGTGCTTGTGAAAATTGTTTGATTGGAGTTGCTTAACCTTTTACCCATTAATATTGGATTAAATCCTTGTTAATTTCCTCTTTATTAGATTACTCTTCCCTAAGAATAAGGTCTGCTTTTATTCTATAATAGATCTGAAATTCTTGTATTTCCATTTTAAGCTAAGCCTTATTCATCACCATTATTATTATTCTATCCGTCTTGAACTATATTTTACCTTTTATTATCGTTCATTAGTATTTCATATTGAAGTAAATCTTTTGCTTATATTATACAATCTGTGTATTCGATAATTATTCTTAATTATTTTAACTAAGGTGGAGTTATTTCAATTTTCCTGCTCATTAGTTCATCGTAGATATTTCTGATGTTTACTCTATAATTTTTCAGATCTAATATTAGTTTTAATGCTTCATTCTTCATTGGTTTGAGGCAATAATAATGCTCATGCAAATTAGGAATATTTCCAGAGCTGGAGGTGAGGGCAACTCCTTTAAATCCTTCATGAGAATCAATAGAATTTTTAACTTTTTCATTTTGTAAAAGTTGCTATCCACTAAGCTTATGTTATTCAATTCTTTTTAGTATAAGAATGCCATCTTCATCCTCTTTCCTATCTTAGGAGCCCAAATCAATCAAGTCATCATTTGATTGCTAAGCAATATTTTACTGTGCTGCCTACAGCTATTATTATTTCTGCTGCTTAGAGATAAGATTTTAGTTCTAGATCATATTATTTGTAATCTCCAGCATAATTTAAGGAAATTTCATTTGATAAAATTTATCAAGATGAATGAATCTTAATAGTACTAACTCCGATTAAAACGTAACTTCAATTTTCAGGGTTCTTTTCTCAAGATCCTTAGCATGTGAAAGCCAAGGAAACATTCTAATTGGATTAAGTACATTCCAGTCTAAATTATCAAATATGATATAGCCTTCTTAGTCGATTCTTTTATTCTCATAAATGACAAATGGATTCTCAACATCACTTAAATCGGTTAATTTGATATTAAATGCAAGTTAATCAAGCTAATCTCTCAGGATTGTTTTACTTAGTAAGATAGGTTCAATGTTGCCTTCTTATAAATTTTATTATTGAAGCTATTAAGCCTTTTATGTATGAACAGGAATAGCCTACATTGACTCTTATTTTTATCCATTGATGATAATTTAAGATTCTCTCCCAATCACTGGAGATTGCTCAACAAGCTTAGTTTCTTGAAATTCTTCTGATGGTATTAATTAAGTAGCGTTACTTCTTATCTCATAGTTTGAGAACTAATTCTTTGTTTATGAACCAACTTTTGAAAATCTTGGACTGAGTTTCCTCTCTTAAACAGGAGTTGTTGGCATAGTTGTCTTAATGTTACCTGATATGTAATTCCTTAGGATTGCTAGGATCTGCTGAGGAACTAAAACAAGAAATATAAGATATATATAGAAAGAGTTACTTTTAATTTTGTACAGTTGCATGATAAGCTGGTTGTCATTTTAATTTGATGGCTAGATAAATTAGTGCTGATCATTTACATTAATGTTGAAACTTTACCCATAGTATGTCTGGGGAGGTGATTAAGGATATTGCTGCTATTACTAATGCTGATCCTCTGTTAAACTCATAACTTGTTACTTTTTCCTAGCTTCTTGAATCTAATATTGCTATAGCACTAATTTTGTAGGAATGCACTGATCTATCAAATTTTTACCCTCCTTTGAAAATAAGCCATCATAAGACTATTACTTTCTCTTAGCATTTTGAGAGGATGTCTTAGGTCTGTTGTTGTAGAATTTGGATATTTTAATACTTGATAGCAATCTCCTACGTTAATTAATAGTCATGCCTTCTAAGTTTTTAATTCCATTGTTGTTGCCCACTGATTACCTTTTACTTTAGAACTATTAATATTCATCTTCATCACCTTCAGCCTAATCATAAGTTGAAGTTCTCTGAATATTTTCTTCACCCTAATTATCCTACTATTCATGCTTCAAGGCACTATTCAACACCTATGATTGGTACTCTTCGTCAAAATCATGAGATATAACTCCATTTTTCTAAGGTGATTATTTTGTAATAACGCTTTCATTAACTGCTTTCGTCTAAGCCTGAGTTGGTGCAGCCTCAGTATAAACGAATGGATCCATTCCAAATGTTTTAACATCCTAATCGTAGTCTTTTTAAAGCTCCTCAATGTAGGCATGTTGCTTGAGCCCCAGAATTTTCCTGCACTAGGGGTTATAGAAATAGCGCATGTAGTTTTCCTTCACCTCTAACTAGTGAAATTTCTTTTCGATTTAAGCCAAGTTCATAGTTAAAAATATTGTTTTTTAGTTGTAAAATATTATTACTTGAATTATATTTTTATTTCTAAGTATTCATTTCTAAACAAATTAGGTCCAAAGGGGTTTTGGGGTTTTGGGGTTTTGGGG